AGTCCGAGCGGACTATTCAGATTTTGGAGGATATGCTCCGAGCTTGTGTCATTGACTTTGGAGGCTCGTGGGATTAGTTTTTGCCTTTAGCAGAGTTTGCCTACAACAACAACTACCAGTCGAGTATCTAGATGGCTCCTTAAGAGGCTTCATGTGGTAGGCGATGTCGATCTCCGGTTGGATGGTTTGAGCCGGGAGAGGCTCGATTGTTAGGTACAGATCTGGTTTAGAAGGTTTTGGATAAGGTCAGGATTATTCAGGACAGGCTTCGTACAACTCAGTCCAGTCAAAAGAGTTATGCGAACTACAAGGTTTGAGATTTGGCCTTCATGGTAGGTGCGCGGGTATTGCTTTGAGTGTCTCCTATGAAGGGTGTGATGAGATTTGGGAAGAAGGGCAAGCTTACCCTAGGTTCATTGGCCCATTTGAGATTCTTGATCGAGTGGGAGAGGTGGCTTATAGACTTGCGTTGCCGCCAAGTTTATCAGTCGTGCATCCAGTGTTTCATGTGTCCATGCTTCGGAAATATCATGGCGATCCATCCCACGTATTAGATTTCAGCACTGTCCAATTGGATAAGGACTTGTCATATGAGGAGGAGCCGGTAGATATTCTAGACCGGCAGGTTCGTCAATTGAGGTCGAAGAGTTCTCCTTCTGTTCGTGTTCAGTGGGGAGGTCAGCCCACTGAGGCATCGACCTGGGAGTCCGAGTTCGATATGCGGAGCCGTTATCCCCATCTTTTTCCTGACTCAGGTACTTCCTTCTTATATCCGTTCAAGGACGAACGGTTGCTTTAGAGGTGGAGAATGTGATGACCCAAAAGGTCATCACTATTGTTGAAAGTGCATTCAGTGTTTCGAGGCCGACAAACCTTCCTTTTTACCCCACCTTGATTTATGTGTGTGGTTCGGACCTATATTCGGAAAGCCTTCTATGTGACAATAGCAGAAATAGAAATTTAGAGTTAAAACTTTGATTATGGTTGACTTTGGTCAACACTCTTAGCAAACGTACCCGGATCCGTGTTCCGATGATACCGGGAGGTCCGTAATAAAATATGGGACTTGGGCGTATGCCCGGAAATGAATTCCAACGTCCCAAGCCTTCGAAATCATTTTTTTTGAAAACAATTGTTTTACTGAATTATCTAAGGAAAAAAGAAAAGAATTAATGGTTGAAAAAAATGTTATCGGGCCCATATTTTGGTTCCGGATCCCAGTACAACTTGTTATAGTATTTGAAAGATAACTGTGAAATTTGGTTAAAAATGGAGTTTATTTGACGTGAGTTGGACTTCCAGTTGAAGAGTTATGAACTTTGAGAGTTCTTGATAAAAATGTTGAGTTTTGAGGTTTAATTCATGATTTTACATTTTATTTTGATGATGTGATCGCACAAGTAGGTCCATATGATGTTTTTGAGTTACCATGACATTTGGTTTGGAGCCCCGAGGGATCGGGTGAGTTTCGGGATGTTTTTACACTTAGTAAAAAGTTGCAAATTCAGATATGTTGCAGGTCTCTAAAGCCAGGTCTCGGGTGCGCGGTGGAAGCTTCGCGGTCGCGGTGGGAACTACGCGACAGCGGTGGGATTCGTGCGGTCCGCGGTGAGCAAGGCCAAGCCTTCGTGGCCACGTTCGGTTTCTTGCGTTCCGCGGTCGCAGTCTTTTTTATGCGGTCCGCGGAGAGGGTCTCAGAGGAGTATATTTAAATGGACTTTTCAGTTATTTTTCTCTTTTCAAAACCCTAAAACATAAGAGGCGATTTTTCAAACGCTCCTTCATTTCCCAAAACACTAGTAAGTGATTTTTAACTTATTTCTTTCACTCCTTAACTTCTTTTAACAAGATTTCATCCTAGAGTCTAACGTTTTCATGGTGGAATTGGGAATTTTGGGCAAAACCTAAGAATATTGAAATTTGGGGATTTAGACCTCAAATTGAGGTCAGATTCCAAAACTAATTATATATCCGGGCTCGGGGGTAAATGGATAATCGGGTTTTGGTCCAAATTTTGGGTTTAGACCAAGCAGGCCCGGGGTCGATTTTTGACTTTTTGGGGAAATCTTTATAAAACCTATTTTCATGCATTAGAATTGATTCATTTAGCATTTATTGACATCGTTAAGTAAATTGTGGCTAGGTACAAGCGAGTTGGTGGTGGAAACAAGAGGTAAAGTGGTAGTTGAGGCTTGAATTATGTTCGTTGCATCGAGGTAATTGTTTGGTCTAACCTTAGCTTTAGGGATTAGGAGTTGAGTCTTATTTTCTGCATGATAATTGTTGAGTGCGACGTATAGGTATGGTGACAAGTATCTATACGTTGGTGTCTAGCATGACCGTGAGTCTTTTTGAAAATCTTGATTTTGTTGTGTCTTTCATGCCTTGGTGATAATTTCTAACTGTTGTGGAAAGTTTGTGGAAGGAATTGTAACCTTGAACATCGAGGAGCATTGGCTCAAGTTATATTATGAAATGTGAAAGTATATGAGATGATTGAACCCTTTGGAGCATTGACTCAAGTTATATTGTGAATTGTGAAAGTATATGAGATGATTGAACCCTTTAAAGCATTGGCTCAAGTTATATTATGAAATGTGAAAGTATATGAGATGATTGAACCCTTTAAAGCATTGGCTCAAGTGGTAAAATGAGTTACGAAATAAAAGTGAAAGAAAGAGAAAGAGTTATTAAATTGTTCCCTTGCTGGGATATAGTTGCTATGTTGATTATCTCCCTTGCCGGGATGTTGAGATTTTTGATGTTGTTCCCTTGCCGGGATTTAATTGTTTAACTGTAGTTCCCTTGCCGGGATCTCTATTACTATTTTGTTTATTTCCTTGCCCTTTTTCTTGTGATTGTTGTTTGGGTGAGGAAGAGTGTTAAAGTGCTAAGGATGATACCGTGCATTGTTTGCTATTGTGAGGAAAGAGTGTGAAGCATGAAGGGTAATGTCGTACCGTACGATGTGCCATTCCGTACCGATTTTCATTGATTATATGGTGAGGAAAGTGAGTAAAAGCACGAAGGTAGTGCCGTGCACATCTTTATTATGTGATTGATTTGGTGAGGACGAAAGTAAAAGCACGAAGGGTGATGTCGTGCACACTTTTATTATAAAATTGCTTTGGAGAGGACGAGAGTAAAAGCACGAAGGGTGATGTCGTGCAAATTGTTGATTTCTGATTTATTTTTGATATTCGAGTTATGTTGTTTCTTTCCTTACTTGATGCTTTTTATTCGGAACTGTTATCTCCCCCACACCATGTTTCCCCCTCCCACATTGACTGGTTATTTTTTGTATTTCTTTTCCACTGTATATACATTTGAACTGCACAGGTTTATTTGGTAGTTTGGTCCTAGCCTCATCACTACTTCGCCGAGGTTAGGCTAGACACTTACCAGCACATGGGGTTGATTGTGCTGATACTACACTCTGCACTGTGTGCAGATCCAGGAGCAGCTTTCAGAGAGTAGTTGGAGTGCTTCCTTTAGTCCACCCAGAGACCCAAGGTAGACCTGCAGGCGTCCGTAGGCCCTAGCGTCTCCCTCTATCTCTATTTCCTGTTTCATTTCCTTTTGTTCAGAAACATTGTATTGTATTTCTTCAGACCTTATATGTAGTAACTCTTAGACAGTCTGTGACACCAGGTTTTGGGTATTGGAGGTTTAAAAGTTGAAATAGACGTAGCCTTAAGATATATAATTGTTGACTTCCGCTTATTTATTTAAAATTCCGCTTTTATCATATTATCGATTTGTGTTTGTTAAAAAGAAGCAAAATTTAAAGTGTAGCAAGTAGTTAAGATTTGGCTTGCCTAGCTCACGTTAGTAGGCGCCATCACGACTTCCGAGGGTGGGAAATCCGGGTTGTGACACAATATATATATAATGATCTCAAGCATTAAATTAGATAATAAATAAAATAATAAAAATAATTCAAATGCATATACTTGAAATAAACTTCAACAAAGAAATATACTTTGTGTACTATCTATAGTAATAAAACACTGTTGGTTCAAGAAGTTCACTAGCAAAAACCTCGACAAAACCAAATGTATTCATATTTATAGTATCAATATAAAAAAATAAACATCACAATTGTTCAAACGGTCTTCACCATTCACTTTAATGAATCAAATTGATTTGTGGCCACTATTTCCAATTGCATCACCGGTATTTTCCTACACATTCAAAATAAATTAAAAATTAGAAAGAAACAAATATATAGTATGCACTGATTATATCTTACTAAGAACTAATGATATTTTATTTCACTACTATAGCATAACAATGTCAAACACAAAAAAGATATACAAGTGAAAGAGAAGCAAAATTGTGAATTAACATACATTTTACCTATCTCCTTCTATAATCGCAACAATCAACATAACCACCCAGCATTACGTTGCACAGAATTACAGGTGTACTATTTGGTGAAATATAAATACATTTTCAAGACTTGGGGCATGAGTTGAGCCAGAAGAATGTGGTAGATTATGACCTTTTATAGCTCGTGCACTACTTGCATCAACCAGTGAAGGAATATTAGATCCAACACAATCTTGCATATCATTAAAATCCAGTGTAGGGTTGTTTTTCACCAATTGACTAAACAAATATCGCATTTGTTGTTTAAGTTTGGTGATTTCTTCATCTTTTTTTAGAGAGCTTGTCGTCTCCGATATACCATAGCATCTAACCCGACCAGGCTGCTCTTTTCAAATATAGCCCTAAATGCATCATCTGTTGTTTATCCGAAACTTTGACGATTCTGAAGTTGAGACTTTAAAAAAAAATATTATAAAAAAGATTATTAACAACTTTATATCTCAAAAATCTAGAAAAGTTGATTTCAAATAAAATGTATCTTATAACTTAAAGTGTTATAAGGGTGATAGGAGGCTATAGAAAGCAAAGAGTGAAATGCATAACTACTTCTTAGATTGTTCTCTCCTTCTAACCAATGAGGAAGCGCATCCAAGATGGCAGTCCACAGTAACTTACATTGATTTTCAATGTAACAACGAGAATCAAGAGAATAAGAAAAAAAGATACAGAATGCTGAACCAAGATGAAGACACTGTACTGCAAGACATTTCCATTAACACAGAAAGGAACATGTATTTTGCATCATAGGGACAAGCAAATGCTCTATTACAAAGAATTTGCAAAAGGACATTGTTTTCTTACCTATTATCCTTTTATCACGAATCCAAAAAAATGTACTTTGAAAACAACAGATAATACATGAATATGCTGAAGGGACTCATAAATCTACAGATGTCATACTCAACCTATTCATGGTGCCAAACGTACCTGCATATCCTTTTTTAGCACAATCAAACCAGTTATCACCCTTTGGCTGAGTTTTTTTTGCCTGTAGGTTTCCGTTAACAATGGAAAAAAAGAAGAAAATATTGCATCATAATTGCTAGCAGAACAGAAAAGATGAATCATGCAATTACTGATTACCTATGAATTAGGAAAAACTGTTTGAAAAAGATGAATTATGCAATTACTAATTACCTCTGAATTAGGAAAAACTATTTCACCACCCTTCTCAACATCAGAACAGTAGCCACCCGATGACCGCCTAGCTCTTGATTGACTTTGTCATGACAATAATCAAAATGTGGCTCGTACTTTTGGCCATGTTCGTAATGCAACATCTGAATAGATTCCTCGTTCTCTGTATTCCAATTTAATAAAGTAAGATTTTGCTTCTGCGCACACACACACACACACACATANTACATTAACAACTACTTGATCCTTATAAATTAAAAAGAAAATGCTAGTGGTCGTCTTCAGTCATTAACCTAGACTAATATAAGTCCACCAGGGGAATGTTTCTAAAGAGGATGATGCAACATAGTATAGTTCAGGAATTTAATTTCCAAATTGGAAGCAAGGCTGAAGAACTTAGTAGGATATCATCAAAACAAGAAAATACATTCAGAAGGAAGTCATCGACTCAACTTGAAGGGAATATAAAATGATAGTCCATCTCTAAAAAGTTTTCTAGAAGCATTGAATGCTAAAAGCATAATGCTCAAGAGAGGTTTTTCCATACTCAACTACAGATCATTTCACAATATGCTTGGTTCACCCAATATGGTACATGATTAATAATTCTATCCCTTTTCACATAAAATGAAAATGAAATAAATAGAAAATTTGAAATTACATACCAAAATGTATTCTATGTTCTAATCATGTTACCATATATATTCCTTAGAATATGAAATCAATCATGTATTGGTAAATTAGCCCAGTATCATTCAATAACAAACATTGAACTACTATTTTGTACTATCTTCCTGTCCAACGAAAGCAAAATCGAAAATATGATCCTGCTGAGAGAAAGTTGATCATACCCTACCATAATCAAAATATTTATTGGGTCAAATTTTCAAAAAAATATCATGAGCGTATTGGCAATATAATGACACCTAAAAGGTGTATTGTACGTATAAAGATTAAATAACTAAAAGAAGTTAAGATATAAATATCTAACTAACTATTTATGATTTCATCAACTCTAAAGAAGAAACTCAAGAACTAGCCATATTCTGAAATTACTAAAAGAAAACTTTGATACCCAAAAATTAAGCAAAATAATTGCTCATTTTTCAGCATAAGAATATGAAATTAGAAAATAAAGAGAGTTAAATACTTGAATAAAAACAAAAACTTTACAAATTTACCTAGAAATTATACAAAAATAAATATTATTTTTTCAGCCCGATTAATCCAAAACTAGAAAAATTGAAAAATTAAGTATAAAAATAATTAGAAGACAATACAAAGATACCCAAAAATATATGATCAAAATTTGGGCAGCCTCTGCTATCTACAGGAAACGACAATGAATAAATCATGGTGAGAAATCAAGTCCTTAGGGAGGTGATCACTGAAAAAACAAATCGACAAGACAATCAAGTTACAGATCGAATTTTGCCAAGGCTTAAAACTTGGGCTGACCAAGTCGAAGAAGATGAAGATGGCGATTTCATTGATTTCAATGCTACTAAAGATGAAGAATGTAACGAGGAATCACTGCATTCAGCTGGTTCACCAAATGTACCAAAAACTAGAATATCACCAAGCTCAAGTGTTAAAAGCAAACTCAACTTTAATGCGCCAGCTTTTCTTCCCAAAACTGCCTTAGGTGGCGCTGCAAATGTGTAGATTCATAACGCCAAACATTCTGTTGTTATAACATCAACTAAGGAGCCTCGAATTTCAGATCATGATAGACAACTTATTGATGCTCTGGAGACCCCAAAACTCAACAAATTGGCACTATCAGCTGGTTCAAAGACACTTGCATACGGGCAGAAAATTTAGGTAATCAACTCAATAGAATTGTTCAATTGCTGGAGTTACTTTTGGCATTTTTACAAAAAACACAAGAATCGGGTGGATTGATGAAACAAGAGATTGTTAATCAACATCTACTAGGCAATTTAGGTGTGTGTTCATTCAACACACACATTGCATTCAATATTGTGAGACTTCAACATAATTTGATAATTTTTATGTGGTGAAATTAACTTACACTTCAATTATTAACACACCACAAAAAATAAGAAAACATTTGACTAGTGATGAAGTTAATATAGAAGAAAACTAATAAAAACAGAAAATCAAGACTCAATAACCAGTATAACTACCAAAGAGTAACTACTTTCCACAGTAGGAAGAAGGAAATTTTGAGAGCAAGAGAAACCAACCTGCAGCTTCGAGGAAGAGGATTTTGATAACTACTGAAACAGTTGTACATAAACGATAATATAGACTTTGGGAAAGAGGATTTAACTACTCCCAAACACTAAAGGAAATTTTGAGAGCAAAAGAAACCAACCTGCAGCATAAACGATAATACTCATTTTCAACTCAAGAATATGAAATTAAGATAAAATTGAAAACTTTTATAGCCAAAAATTAAACAAAAAAATCACTTATGTAAGCCCAATAATCAGAAATTGAAAAAGAGTAAAACTTTGAGTATAAAATAAAGACTATACAAAGCCCAGTAATTATACAAAAACATATTACTTCTATCAACCCCATCGATAAGAAGCTAGACAAACTAAATCTTTAACTATGAGATCGAAGACTATACAAAAATATCAAAAATTAAACAAAAAAATATTACTTTTATTTCAACCCAATAGTATTAGTCACACCTCCTTTTTTCGCCCCCGCGATGGGCGTATGGAGTTTTTCCAATTAAAGGACAATCGAAATGGGATTTATTTATTTATTTCAGAGTCGCCACTTGGGAGATTTAGGGTGTCCCAAGTCACCAATTTAATCCCGAATCGAGGAAAAGAATGACTCCATATTACAGTCTGCGCACCAGAAATCCGGATAAGGAATTCTGTTAACCTGGGAGAAGGTGTTAGGCATTTCCGAGTTCTGCGGTTCTAGCACGGTCGCTCAACTGTTATATTCGGCTTGATTATCTGATTTTATACAAATATGAACTTATGTGCAAATTTTATCTTTTTACCGCTTTCATAATTATTATTATTATTTTTTACAAGGAATTGCAACGTTGTGAAAATGTACCTCAAACCGCGTCACAATCAATGTGCCCGCGGTCGTCGACACACTTTGACTCCGTTGAGATTTGGATTTGGGTCACATAAATGTGCACCCGAGTTTAAGAAAATTAAATTATTAAAGGCGCGCCTAAAGCGACTAGCGTATCATTTTCTTTGGGTAGGGCCGTGGAATTTTGCTAAACGGTCCGTCTCGGAATCTAAGCAATTTTAAAGCAAATAGTTACTGAGGGCCCCACAATTTTGTATTTTTATTCCGCGAGGCTCGTCTCATTCTTATTTTTTTTTAAAGGAATTTGCAACGTCATGGACACGCATCTCGAACCACGTCACAATCAATGTACCCGTGATTAGAGACACATTTCGACTCTGTTGAGATTTGGATTTGGGTCACATAAATGTGCACCCGAGTTTAAGAAGGTAAGATTTATTAAAATGCACGCCTAAAGCGATTAGCGTGTTATTATTATTTTTTTTGGGTAAGGCCGTGGAGTTCGCTAAGCGGCTTGTCCCGAGTTTTCAGTAATTAACACATACATTTTATTTGTGAGGGCCCCGCAATCTATTCGTTTTATTTGGCGAGGCTCGTCTCATTTTTATTTAAAAGGTAAACATAAGGCAACTACAATTTTCTACTTTGCGATGTCATGGAAAATTCAACTGATGGCACACCTCGATTTCTAAAGGACTAAAATTAATTAAGTGGAGGCCATGGGTTATAGATTGAACTTATTTGATGAAAAGAGTATTTTTCGTGGAATTAAAATTACTACTATGATTTTAAAATTACTACTGTACGTATAAGCAACTATTAAGACAAACTAAAATAATTAACATCTTTCAGAATGTGTACAAACACCTATTGTGACAAATATTTGGATAACAGCAATCTAAACATGAAGAAACAAAATGCCCAATAACTACTTAAAGTAACGAAACAAAGGAAAAGACATTCACGGCCAAATTTCAATACC